TCTTATGAGTTGAATCACATTTGTATTTCTTCTACGACATAAAGGTAGCTATGTGAAATAGAATTTGAAGCTATACTTGTGTTTATCGCATATGGTAAGCACTTACTCCTTTATATAGGAACTCATTGTTCATATCAAATTGTCTTGATCTTACTGTATTAGGGAACTATTGGTTGTTATGGTAAGATCAAGATAAACTAATATGGACAAAGAGCCCTGATAGAAAGAAAAAATAAGCCCTGGACATAGGAATTAGACACCAAGTTTGCTTATTATGAATACGAATATGACACTCGATAATTGTCAAACACAAGACACGTCCATAACTAGAAGAAAAATGTATACCTTTAGGAGTGCAAACACAACTTTATTTCAGAATAGAAAGAGTATGATCATAAATAAAGATAAACTATGTTTTGAATAAATCAATTAGAAGTCTGACAATTCAAAGGGCAAAAATAACTAAGTTACTTGCAGGTTTGCATGTTAAGATTCAACTGAAATCTATTGGACACATGGGAGAAGGGGACATTCAAAAAACTTAATCGTTAACGACAATTTATAAATAGCAAAGAATGCTCATTGGCCCTGAAACCCTCCCCCCCCCCCCCCCCCCCCTTTTTCTCTTTTTTCTCCCCACCACTCACGCACAACGGAAAACAAAACTTCTTAGTAAGGTAGATTCCTAACAAAAGTGAAGCACCCAAATACAAATGCTAAAAGCCTTATCTAAACCTTGGAATGATCAAAATTGATTGCACCAGTGGAATCAAGCCCAATTTTAGAACATTTTTTTTTTAGATGAGAACACACACATACCTGCTGAGGAATACACAAGAGATCATCCCATTCCAGCAAGATATGAGCATACAACCCTACATTAACACAACTTTTGGAACACTTCACATCCAGCCCTCTATAACGATATGAATAAAGTTTTTCCCACTCAATCAAATATGCATGTCTCCTCTTTATTTTCTTCACCCATATTTACATATTCAATATCCCATTGTAATCTACACTAAAAATGAGCTCTAAGCAGTTGAAATTAAAATTATAAATCCACCACATTCCCAAAAATACAGAGAAACTACAGTAAGCATTAGAGTTATCAAAAATATGAACATGTCATAGCATGAAACAGATCCTTGCATCTGGAAATGATTACCAAAAACCCTTTTCACAAAATATCTTCAGATGTCAAACTAACCACAGATCTACAAACCTAATAAAAGCATACTTTCTTAGCATTGAATAACTAAAGCTAACAAAAGAAAGGATTCTGGACCGCATACAGTGATGTATTAGTCAGATGTGTGCAAAAAATACATCACCAATATCTATCCTTTTGTCCTGCATAGTATCTTTACACACTATTATCTTTCAAGGCTTCACTCCTACAGTCCTAGTTGTTTCATCCCCTTGATTGAAACCAAGCTCTCTGTGTAGCTAAAAGCTTCATATGAATGTGCCTGAACTTCGTCAATTGAAATATTTTTAATTCCATTAGTTTTGGGATCATACAGGAACAGTTTTCCTTTAGTACCCTCTGCTACAATCTCTCCATTCTTTGAACACTGAATGAGTCTCTCCACCTTAAACGGAATTGGTCCAACACTGAACTTCTTACTCCAACTCTTCTTGCAATCATCCAACACCCAAACATCAACACATACACCTTTGTTCGATTCTTCGCTCAAATAGTAAACAAGCGAAGCAAGACCATCCTTCAATTCCACGAGTCGTGCATTAGTCCCTTCGCCCATGGGAAAATTTGGCACTGCCCCTTGCAGAAACACCTCATTCTGGGTGTCGAAAAATAGCAAAACCTCAAGAAATTTAGACTCCGATTCGATAAACGCAGTCCAATAGGGTATTCCCTTCACAATTGCATTGCACCTAGTCTGGAATAGATAAAATGGGGTCTCAACCTGAATCCTTTTCCAAGAATCCCTATTAACCGAGTACACCTGAACTTTCACTTGTATTTTCTTTGGCATTTTCGGCGTCATACACATTATACGCACGATTTTGTGATCATTTTCAACTGGGTCAAAGCCAAGGCCGAGAGAAACTTTTTCAACTTCGCCTTGATCCATTTTTGTGCTTGGAAGTCGAATTGTCTTGTACATTCTCGTTGAAGGGTTCCATAGAACGATCATTTGACCCAGAGGTGGGCAACCGAGACATACAAGGCCATTACACGAACCCACCAAGTCCATTTGGAGGAAGATTTCTGGGAAAGGGTGGTCGAGATTGATGGGTTTGTTGTCAATAGGATTGACATTGCAAAGAGACATGATGTGGTCATACCATAGGGAGAGACCGTGGATGATTACAGCGTCGTTCTTGGGGTTCATATCGGTGTGATTGAGGTGGAGTGAGATGAATTTAGGGTTCTTGATAAGGACAAGCCAGGGTTTGGACACGGACTTGAAGCGGAGGAGAGATTTGACTGGAAGTCTTGAGAGTATTTGAACGATCAGGTCTTGGGGGAAATTGCAACTCGACATTGTTGCAGAGGAAGATGATTTGGTTTCCGACATATTTTCTTTTCCCTTTCCTTCCCCTTTCCCTTTCCCTCTCCCTCGGTTCGTCATTTTCTGAGAATCTATTCGAATAAGATGTGAGTTCAGCGAGGACAGTGACTGTCGGGAAGTTTAGTTGATCGTATCCGATGGGAAAATTACATACAAATCCCTTGAAATTTGTCCTTAATCATTTAAACCTCGAATATTTAAAATATTATCCATGAACTCCTGACATTTGTACACAGAGATCAAAATAATTTTAAAAGATAGAATATTAAATATTTTAAATGGTTAATTTCAGTGAAAGTTCTCACAATATGAGGTTTGTCTTATTTTGGTCTCCAATATTTCAATTGAATTATTTTAATCTCCAAAATATTAAATATGTTTCTATATAGTCTCTCAAGTAGATAGAGTTCAGATTGCTAATAATTATTTTATTATAAATTTGTCACGTGATATTTAAATTTGAATAACTTTTAACAAAATTTTTACTTAAATTTTAGTTAAATAACTACCTAAATTACATAGTTTTAATCATGAGCTATACAAATTTTGGTAAAAAATCTATCCATATTACACATTTTTTGTCAAGAATTATCCAAATTTTGTTTAAGAGCTATCAACATTATTTTTTATTTATATTTAGGTATTATCTGATAAGTTTATGAATAAAAATCATTAACAATCTGGACGTTGTCTGCAGAAGGAATCATATAAAAATATATTCAATATTTCAAGAACCAAAATAATGTAATTGAAACATTATAAATCAAAATGAGATAAATCTCATATTTTAATGATCTTTTGTGCACTTATCCCTTATTTTAAATTTTACAATCAAAATTCATGTTCTATTACTTCATTTATTAAATAAAATAAAAAAAAACACAAATCTAATTTTTTTGTTAAAAAAATTATAATTAGTACTATTGATATCAAAATTTAGACGACTGCCACATTAGTTTGTTGAGCTTCAATCACCTGAAAGAAGTAAAGACCAAAGGGGAGTTTTTAGAGGTTGACTCTCTTATGCTTAAGTCAATAAATGACTCAAAGGTATGAATTACATATAATAATCAATATAAATATATCAAAAAACTCGATTTAACACTCATTTATATACAATTATATTATTTATTTGAAATAAAACAAATAAACCAAATAAGGGATCAAGCTGTAATAGACGCAATGTCTTGTATCTTTTATTTGGATAATTTGGTCATTTAATAGATTCTGTTACTTTTGTAACTAATAAAGAGTTTAAGTATTATACGTTTACAAACTTCAAAGAATTTAAATATAATTTCCTAATGAATAGACTAACGGACATTGACGACAAGTGCTTCTAACTTTTATCTAATATTGATGGAAAAAAAAGTTTTATCTAATAAAAACGTGTCACATATAAAAAAGCTTATATTTAATATTTTTATTGTTTAGTTAATAATTACAAATCTTTGAATTCAAATTAACGGTTGAGATGGATTATAATTATCGAAACCTTATCTTTTCATCAAACTTTGCTAATTTTTGAATAAAGTAAATTTAAAATTTCTTTGAACTTGTCAACAACAAATTCTTTACACATCAAAATGTGCTAGTGAATTATGAGAAGCTCTCTCTCTCTCTCTCTCTCTATATATATGTATATATATAGATAGATATATGCTGAAAGATTGGCCGAATAAAATAGTTTCGCCCAAACAACTCGATAAGATAGCTGAGTTTTGTCAAAACAACTAAAATTAATGAACTCTTTGTCAAAAGACTAGCTCAGCTCATTATTCTTACCAGACACCTCAGCTTAATCAATCAATACAACCCAGTTTGAAGTTTCCAAATCATGATAGTAATCACTATACTATCAAATGGAGATTAAGTAATGACTTCATCGTCCTAACAAAAAAATTCACAAAATTAGAGTCAGCTCCAATGAAACTCAAACTCTTGAACCCCAAAGATGCTGCCTCAGTTGATGGTACAGGTATGTATTCCAAATTTAATTCAATTATGATCATCTTTAATTCTATATTAACTTAGATACTGGAGAGTCGACTTTTGAATTTCCTTTGGCCTTTGAATCTTTTTTCAAGTGAATATAGTTTATCAAGTTGAAGGTGGTATCGATAGACTTTTGGTCTAATGATACTCCTTAGGATTCAAATCTCCTTCCCTTCTCCACCCCTAAAAAAAAATAAAAAGGCTTAAGGCCATAAAAAAATTTACATCAACACTTTAACATTGTTTTTCAATCTTACCCCTCAAAAAAAAAAAAAAGGCTTAAGGCCATAAAAAAATTTGCATCAACACTTTAGCGTTGTTTTTCAATCTTATGATATCACATAGTGGGATTTTTGTAATTAAAATCTAATGGAACAATAGAATAATGGCAACAAAATTATGAATTTTTGAAATTATTTTGAAACACTCATATAATTATATAATTTTAGGGGCCTCATACAAATTTTTCCCATGAAAAATTAAAATTATTAATTATGTTTTTAGTTTCTAATCATTATTGAGAGAGAAAGAGAGAGAGAGAGTCTGACCTCCGGGGATAGGTGGGTAGTGGTATGGAGAGATGGATAACTCCAGGTAGTAAGAGCATCTCCGAGGCCCCTCGCCATTTGAGTCTTTTAGCCATTCAAGCGAGCAAAATTTCAAATCGTGTTCTCCAACGCTTTAGCTATTCAGCTCGCCAAAATCCAGGAAGCCAAATTGCTCGCCAAATTTGGAGAGAAGAAGTTGCTCGCCACATCTCCCCCTCCTCTTGCTGCTGTGAACCAGGTATACAGACTGAAGAGTTGCTCGTCCATTGGGTTCACTCGCAGCTGGAGAAGCACAAAAGAAGATCGTCTGAAGTTGTTCTTCTTCTCGTTGCATACAGCCCAATCGGACGATTCTTCACGTAACGGGTTTGCACACCAAACTCTGTGATTTCTCCCTATCTGTTTCATGCGCACCCATCTCGCCCATTCCTGAAACCACCCTCCCCCAAATTTTGAAACCTACCCCCAACAAATTCTGAAACCCCTCCTCCAAATTCTGAAAACTCTTTTTGACCCCGCATTTGGATGTATAATAGAATATTTACATTTAGACCTCTTATGAAAGATTAATGTAAGTATTTGAGAAAATTTTAAATTTATGAGACTTATTGTGCAATTAATTTTTGTTATTTAAAGTTGATGAGTGTTAAATTGCCATTAAGTTGTATTATTTAAAATTTGATTAGAATTATTATTATAGTATAATTTTGGTTGGGCTTATGATTATTCATACTTTGAGTTAAAATTTTAAATTATATTATTGAAAATTAGTTAAAGTTGGTTGAAATAGTTAGCTAAAATAAAAAACATAAATTTTAAAAAATAGCTTGCTAAAGTAGAAAATTTAATATTTAAATATATTTTGAACATTGGATGATATCCGAGTAGTGAATAGGGAGAGTTTGAGAGGAAACTAACAACCTCTTAGAGATAGATGAAACTAGATAATCTCTGAAAACATTTGTGAAAATTGGCCAAAAATTCAATAAAATAGTCTTTTTAAGTCATTAAATCCAAACACTGTATTTTTAAGGCATTAAGGACATGTCAACTGTTCTTTTATTGTTCTCTAGTCCAATCTAATTTTATCATTTGACCAACATACCCTTTAAACAAAGTGGCTTCTCCTCCGGCAATGGATAGTGTTGTTCTCTATACTCTACTAAATTGACTATTTATTCTCGGATCTTCAAACAAGAGTTGCGGAGATGTTGGGTAATATGTAGTGCAAGGGGGGCTGGGGCACAAGTGTGTGCATGGAGAAGCCCTAAGTCCATCGTCCAATTCGGATCTCAACTTCCCATTTTGACAAGATTACTTGCTATGGATTGAATAAACCATCTCATTTTGATATTTGAGTGGGTTGTCAAATGGTTTTGAGCCAAGAACGCCGGAATAGATTATATATTTTTTTGGATTTTAGTACATGCCTACATTCACAGACTGTATCAAGATCATTACATTGTATGGCTTATTTCACTGCCTTGTTTAGCTAGAGTACATAGAGTGATTGTGTGTACTCTACTTTGGCTTGTCCTTACAGTCCAAATTTATTTATTTATATTTTGTATTGGACCCCTATTGATCAACAAACATTTTTTATGTTGCCATTTGGTATTTACGAAACTTAAGGTCTTTTTGGGCTCCGAGCTATGTTTGAGCTTAAAATGAGTACTTCCAATAATAAAATTATTATACAGATTTATTTTTTATATTTTTTCCTTGCTTATTAATTTTTGGGTGCTTTCTATGTTGCTATTTTTAGCTTATATCATATATTCGTATTAATATACTAGCTAATATCCACGTTTAAAGGTGTTATATAATAAAAATTAAGACAATTATTTAAATTTTTTTATTGCCAAATTATTTTGTTATATAGTGAAACAACCTTGTTAACACAAACAAGTTAATGTTGTCTCAAATTGAACTTAGATGTGAAAAGAGTGTCTTTCTTCACAACAATGCCCGCCAATGGCTGCAACCTATTTGTCCTCCAGGTATTGTTCTTCTCCTTTTCCATTGCTATCACCAAAACCAAACTTCTTGCTCTTTAGATTTCAATAAAATCACATAATCAAATCAACAAATGAGGTCAAATTTTTAAGTTTAAATAATATTACTCTTAAATATAGATTTTGGCTAAAAATTTTCGGGGTCGTACCACTTACAATATTTTTGATATAGTTTATTAATTTTTAAGGTATATTCATTTTTTTGGTTCACTTCTCATATTTTGGATAAGACTTATTATTTTTGTAGTTAAAACTTACCATTTTTTAGATTTTTTATTTGAATTTTAATTTTTAAGTACATTACCAAAAATAAAGGGTAAATTACACTCACACCCCCTAACATTTGATTTTATTATATGAATACCCTCTCAAGTTTCAAAAATTATATTAAAATCCCTTGACATTTAAAACTTATAACAAACACACCTCCCGGCTAACCGAGGTTAGAATGGTTGACAGTCAAAGCTCTTGTCATCAATATTAATTATTAAAATATCAAAAATACCCTCTAAATATATGTTCTTACCCCAAAAATTTATCTCATCTCACATTTATCATTTCTTTATTTTATATTATCATATAAAACTAAAATTTTTTCAATTAAATCATAAATTGTATGTTTCACATATTAGCCGACTTATCGAGAATCTCTTGCATAGTATTCTGAATGAACTCAGAAGGAATTTAGCTGTTGACAAACCAGACCCTTCTTTTCGAAATAAACACTGATCACAGCCCACGCCTCTAGGGTTTATCTCTTCTTCTTTGTCGTTGTATGATGGCTCATATTCTTCTTCCAAATCCATAATTTACGGTGAAATCCAAGTGAAGAAGTTCGAAGTTCAAAACCCTAGAAATATGGGTGTGTGTGTGTGCGCGTGAGAGAGAGAGAGAGAGAGAGAGAGAGAGAGAAATGGGTTGATGAATTAGCTAAGGCGGCATGTGATTGAATCCAGATTTACCCCCAAATCCATCATGAACACCAATACAGCTAACCACCACCATACACACAGCACCACCACTGGTAACAGAGTAACCCCATCAACTGTCCACCACCTCCATCTTCATTCACCTCCACAACCACACAATACACGCACACAACCACCACAGTCCAACAACCCCACCACATTCTTCTGTAACACCTCCATTTCCACCTCCTCAACCACATCACACTCACAACCCAACAACCACTATTAAAATCAAATCCCAAAACCCCCCAAAATCATACATGCATATTTTTTAAGCTTAAGATCCTTTTGATTTCTCAGATCTTTGCATCGAATCCTTTTGATTTCTCAGATTTGGATGAGAGTTGCTACTGGAGGGTGCTGCAGTGGTGGGGGAGGGGCTAGCAATTTTCACCGGATCTTCTACGACTTTGGGCTGGTTCTTTGCTTTGGGTATATATATATATATATATACAGAGAGAGAGAAAAAGAGAAGAGAAAAGACTAGCGATTTCGAGTTGGTTCTTCACCTTGGGGGTGAGAGAGAGACAGAGAGAAGGCGCCAAGGCGTTAATGGTGTTGGGTGCAGAGAAGACAACGAAGGCGTAGGGATAAGGCTTGGGGTTTGGGTTTGAGTTTGTGTTAAAGAGAGGGGCAGAATAGTCTTTTTATCAAGACCGTTAACTCTATCTAGCTACTGGGGTCTGATTGAAATTTTCAAAATGTGAGGGGTGTGAGAAAATCAAATGTCAAGGTGTGTGAGTATAATTTATCCAAAAATAAATACTGAGTCTTTGACGTTATTTGCACAAAATCACTACGAACACATTTGAATCAACTAGAGTTTAAATTAATCCGAATCCGAATTAAACTTAATTCTTTTTTTGAATTGATTATTCAACAAACTAATTATTTTTTACAGTTCATATCAAATCCTTTTAAAAATAATCAATCTTATCCAAAAAAGTAAATCAAAAAGTGAATTTTAAAAATTATATTTCAATTTCAACGCAACGTCGTTAAATAATCACCCAATTTTAATCAATATATCTATAGATATGTGTGTATGCAATGATATCGGATTACAATCGAATCCAATTTTTCTATATCCATATCTGTAAAAATTTTGCTACAAAAAGAAATTTTTTTTCATATGCAACTTGGTGATGAAAATGCAACCAAGACAAAGCGTCATTCAATAAGGCAAAAAATTAAAAATCAAACATGAAACAGACCACCTTTGAAACTCAGCCATTTAACATTGCTGCCAAAAGCAAAATCTGCTGGCAGTATCAGGCAACTAAACTAGTAATAACACCACATTCCAGTACACTACAGATGAAAATGATGCTTCATCCTTCTACTTAGCAGGGTATAACCAGAGTTACTTGTACATTGATGCCTATAAAGCAGTCATACCAGGGTTCAACAGAAGTAAAAAGCAGACATTTAATCCAATTTTGAGACCCTATCGCTCGAGCAGATATATTAATACAAAACTACGGATACATTAATACAACATGCTGATATAAATCAATTTAACGACCCCAAAAACACCATTGTCATATGCAACACACTACCCAGATGAAAATGAGCAATTCAAAAAAGGAAACTGCTTAAACACACAAAACCAGTACTTCTACTAGTACATATTCAAGTCAACCAAACTTGTCATGGATGCTTAGTGAAGAGCGGCCTCAAATGGCATATAGGTATACAACTGAATGAATACAACAAATTCAGGGGGCATTGCCAAGTACAATGGGCAAACAATTACGAGGTTGTGAATGAAAACTTGAGGTCAGCCAGTTTGTTCAAAAACTGTTGCAAATTAGGTCAATATCTAGTTCATCTATCCCAGCATTTAACAATGACCTAACAGTGTAATAATCCTTTAGCGAATACACTAAATTTAAGAATACCAAAGAAACTTTTAGAACTTCTAATTCAATAGGCATTTTTTTTTTTGGGCAATAAGAATACAATAGTTATATTTTCCCAAACCAAGATTACAAAGAAGCAGCAGCAAATCCTGATACCTGATTTTCCACAAGGGGTTGCTATATAAATCACCTACAGGATGGGTTCAGAATAAAGGTGGACACCTAAAAATCAGTGAGTTAATTGAATTCAATACTCAAGTTCATATCAGGAAGTATAAAGATGTTTACAAAAATAAATGTTTATACATCAAAATAAAATGGTAGATGAACTCTTAAGTATAGATCCCCATCTTGTCAAACTTCTCCACAAAAAATATAGATCTTCTGCTTAGATCAGATCACCATAAACAGATGGATGACGTAGGAGAAATGCACCCCAGCGCCAAACCCTATTTTACACATATTGCCTACTTACATTTGTGATTATCTAATTCCTATAAAACAATGGTGGTGATTATCTAGCAGTCCACCTTCAAGAGGTTTTTCCCAGGTAGAGGGCAGTCCCTATCAGCACATGGTATGCACACTGCAAAAAGGTTTGTTCTCCCCAAGAGGATTTCTAAGCTATTTAATGAACCACAAGCTAACAGTTTGAGTCCTGACATCCCAACTATTATCAGGGTAAGCTTTAACTTTCACTTAGTTGCAATGCTAGAGAATCTAAGATAAGTGGGTAAAGCAAAGTAGTACTTATTTTACATAGTAAGAGTGTTCAACAATGTCAAATCAAATAACAGTAGTTCTTATTTTACATAGTAAGAGTGTTAACCGATGTCAAATCAAATAACATAATCATTTTCTGGGAGATAAACTGGAAAAAACTTAATTATAGGTAATAGACAGTGTGTTTACAAGACCTGCATGAAAATGAAATCCAGAAACAACAGCACCAAAAAAGAAAAAAAAGGACATAAGAAATGGCTTAATAGCTGTGAGCAGACTCCTCAAACAAAACGACACACTGCAAATAAACAGAGCAAACCATGGCTTATCACACTGTTTGTGGGAGAGCTCTTACCTGCGCTGCCAATCTGCATGTCCTTGAGGGTGTTAATGATCTGATATACCTCTAGCTATTTGAACCATTCTAGTTGTCACAGCAAAGTAAATAGGTAGTTGGCATGAAATTTTGATGTAGGACAACAGGGAGCCAACAAAAACCAGCACTGTTCAAGTTCAGTGAATGCTACCATGAACAGTAAACTAGGGGTTGGATGTGTTATGTATGGATTGTTTGAGAAAGGAGTAGTGTTTTTAGACTATGTTTAAGATATAACAACTAAATTTCAGATATGATTATGCAGTTTAGAACTTGACTAGTTGCATAAAATAGAAAAAATTGGAAGAAAAAGAGAAGAGGAGAACTAGGAATCACTCCTAGGGTTCTCCTAGGGTTTGAATTGCATCACACAATTTCCAAGCATATAATTGCTGAAATTTTCGGGTAAATATCTCTCCTTTTAAAAATATCGCTACCTATGCAGATTGTTCCAAGTATTTCCCAATACTAAAAGATTATGATTCCAAATATTCTTCGGACTCCAAATTACTTATAGAGTAGGAAAAAATGCATATTGACCCTAAAAACAAACCCCCCCCAAAAAAAAAAACCCTCTTTTTTTTTTTTTTTTTCTCCCCACCACTCACGCGCATAGAAAACAAAACTTCCAGGTAAGGTAGATTCCTTACCAAAGTGAAGCACCCAAATATAAATGCTAAAAGCCATATCTAAACCTTGCAATGATCAAAATTGACAGCAAAAATGGAATTGAGCCCAATTCTATAACATTTTTGTGAGATGAGAAAGCACACAAGTCCACATTAGCACACTGCGACTATCACCGGAAAGTTGCATCAGATCAACATTAGAATTAGAATCCACTGCAAAAACAACTAAGTCAACTCCTATTTGCTCCGGATCTACTGGCCCGGACGCTTGAATCTATTCCACCTCAAACAACCGAATATACTATTGCAGGATCTTCCACTGCTTCTGTTGGAACACTTTACATCCAACCCTCTATAATGATATGAATAAAGTTTTTCCCACTTAATTAAACACGCATGTCCCTTCTTTAGTTTCTTTCCCCATGGTTACACTTTTTGTGTCTTAACTACTGATGCAATACCGCATGGTCATCCATACTAAAAATGAGCTCTTAGCGGGTGAAATTAAAATCATAAATCCATCACATTCACAGAAATACAGAGAAAACTACAGTAAGCATTAAAGTTATCAAAATTATGAACAGATCCTTACCCTAAACCCTTTCAGAAAATACATGCCAAACTAAGCAGAAATCTACAAAGAGCATACTTTCATAGCATTAAAAAACTGAAGCTAAACAAAAGAAAGAATTCATGACTGGAAAGGGTGGTCGAGATTGATGGGTTTATCATCAATAGAATCTAAAAGAGACATGATGTGTTCTTGCCATAAAAAGAGACTGTGGATGATTACAGCGTCGTCCTTGGGGTTCACATCGGTGTGACTGAGGTGGAGTGAGATCAATTTAGGGTTGTTGATAAGGGCAAGCCAGGGTTTGGACACGGACTTGAAGCGGAGGAGAGATTTGACTGGGAGTCTTGAGAGTATTTCAACGATGAGGTCTTGGGGAAGATTGCAACTCGACACTGTTGCAGAGGAAGATGATTTGGTTTCCGACGGATTTCCTTCACCTTTCCCTTTCCCTTTCTCTTTCCCGTTGCCTTTGCCTCGGTTCGTCATTTTCTGAGAATCGATTCGAATAGGATGGGAGTTCAGAGAGGACGGTCACTGTGGGGGAAGCTTTAACCTCGGTTTGGTCAGAAAGAAATTGAAGGAAAGTAAAAATGAAAAAATAAAAAATAAAAGTTATTTTCTTATATATATTTAATTAGAATGAAAAATTTGTTAAAAAAAACATAAAAAATTAATATAAGTTCTAAATTATCCTTATCAAATCAATCTAAAACATGCACAATGATTAAAAATTATAATATAGTTACAACAACCACCGCCCCCAACACAGCTTTCACCGAGCAATTAACACCACCTCCGTCCCTCCCAACACATCCTTCACCAAGCAACCACCACTATCACCAACAACTTCCAAACTATGCGGCACCCACCAGCTACCAAGCCAAGCAACACCCACCAGCTACCAACCAACTAAAAGGAAAAGAGAAAATCAAGAAAGAAAAAGTCTATTGCAAATGTCATCTACTAACCTTAGCCACCATGGTTGCTATAAAATTCCCAAGACCCATAGCAAATGGGAAAAATCTTTGAGAGAGAGAATCCATTGACATTGAATTGGGTCTGGTGAGCCTCCAACCCTTTTTCTGTACTTCGATAGTGCCCCCAAACCCCATCTCTTGCTCCGGCGGTCTCCCAACCCCCATCTTTTGCTCTAGCGTTCCCCCAACCCCAAACCCTTGCTCCATCGGTTCCCTCAAACCCCCACCCCTTGCTCCAGCAGTCCCACCCCCATACCCAATGCTGACAGCACCCCAAAACCCACTCCCGAAAAAAACTAAAACTAAAACTTATCTACACAACCCCAATCCCCACCTCTACCAAGTAACCCTTGCCCACCCCTCTGTGAATAGCAACCCAATAGCAACCCAAGTAATACAGTTTCGAACGCCTCGTTCGAAGTTCCTTTGCCATTTATAGCTTTTGCGTTCACTGGCCATCCAAACAAACTCAAGGCGGTGGAAGAAGCTCTCGTCGCGATTGCATCGATACACCTCTGAACGATGTTGATAGACCTTTGAACGATGCCTAGGGTGTTCTCCATTGGCATCAAATTTTCACACAAGTTTAGGATTGATCGAAACTTTGAGGCTTTTGAGGGTTTTGGTTTTCACTGGGTATGGATGGGTTTCGGTTTCATCGAAGGGGGAGGGACTGGATAATCACCGGTTGAGGGAAGGTTGGGTTTTACTGGGTTTTTGCACTTTTGCTTGTGGAGGATTGGGTTGTTTTTGGATTGAATGGTATAAATGTCTTTTAATGGTGTTAATGTTGACTTTTATCAATTTAGACAGTCAAGAATAACAACAATGGGGTGATTGAGATATGTTAAAACTTGAAGGGGGTAGATTGTCGAAATTAAAACCACGAGGAGCTGCTTGAAACACAACCCAAACTTGGAAGGGGAATTTTGTAATTAACCCAAAATTTTATTAGCAATTTTTTTTGCTATATTAATGCAGAATTATTTGACCATATATATTATATCTTTTGTTAACTAAACCCGATGCTTGGTTAATATGGGTAAGTATATGTGGAACATTACGTCATCTTGGTTTTGTAAAAATGGGGGTGTGAGACCAAAGTACTGTAAGCTCTTCTCGTTCGAACGGTCTCATCCCTCTCCGTTCAAGTCTTCCTTCGAGGAAAATGTTTTAAGAAATATCTGATTAATCCTAAACCCAAGGGAGACACTCCTAGGTATGATCAGTGGGAACAAGAGGATGCTCATATTATCTCTTTATTATTGAATAGCATTGAGCCTAGTATTGGCTCTACTCTACTCCATCTTGACACTGCCAAAGAGATAATGGATCACTTGGCCACTATGTATTCTAGTACAGGTAATATTACCCGAGCTTATGAGATGTGTAAGGAGTACTTTCGGCTGGAGTAGGGCACCCTGAGCATTGAGGATTATTACTCTCACATTCGGGGAGTTTGTGAGGAGATGAAGACCTACCATCCGTTTTCTACTAATTCAACAGTTTGGCAGAAGTGACATGAGGACCTGAATGTTGTTAGATTTTTGGTAGGATTGAAACCTAAATTTGAGGCTATTCATTCTCAGATTTTGGGTAGTTCTAGTCTTCCCTCACTATTTGAGGTTTTCTCTCGTATACAACGTGCTACTTTGTCTACGATGCCTTCAGGCATCGATCATGATGTCTCCACTAATCGCTCAGCTCTTGTGGTTCCTACTATCCATAGTGATGGTCATCGAGGTGGACGTGGTGGATCTCATTCTTGTACTCACTGTGGCTGTGGAGGGCACACTGTTGATTTTTGTTGGGATTTACATGAAAAACCTTCTGGTGCTGCGAATCAAGCTTCCTATCAGGATGACACCTCTATTTTTGCTTCCATACCTCGGTTAGCTCCACCAGACATTGGGTTGGTTATTATTACACGAGAGGAGTATGCTCAGTTTCTATCCTAGCAACAGACTATTCCATTTCCCACCTTTGCTACTTTTGCCCAGTCAAGTACTACTTTCACTTGTGTATTGTCCTCCATTTGCAGTACTTGAATCATAGACTCTATCACTTTTGACCACATGACTGGTGTGTCTGATATTTTTTCTACTTATCAGTCTGTTACTTCCACACGTAATGTTACTCTTGTTAATGATACTTGTTCTAAAATTTCAGGTTTGGGGACTACTCACTTAAGTCTTGATATGTCTCTATCTTCCGTGTTATTTGTTTCTCAGTTTTCTTTTAACTTACTTTCCATTAGTAAAATTACCTGTTCTCTCAATTATTTTGTAACATTTTATCCCTCTTATTGTGTCTTTCAGGATCTCAAGACGAAGAGGAAGATTGGTACAGGGCATGAAGTTGGTGGCCTATATTATTTTAATTTTGATTTACCTACTCGGGCTCTACAGACCTCGTTATCTCCTTTTCAGTGGCATTGTCGTTTTGGACATCCCTCTCTCTAGAATCTAAAGCGTCAAGTTCCTAGTTTTAGTTATGTGTCGTCTTTGTCTTGTGAAGCTTGTCAACTTAGTACGCATCACCGTGTGTCATTTCAATCTAGAGTCAATAATTGTGTATCTAGTCCCTTTGAATTGGTACATTTTCATATATGGGGTTCAATAAAAAATATTTCATCTAATAAATATCTTTATTTTGTGTCATTTGTAGATGATTATTCTCGTGTGACTTGGCTATTTTTTATGAAAGTACAGTCTGAATTATTCTTTATATTTGAGACCTTTCACAAGAAAATAAAAACTCAATATGGTTGTCGTATACGTATTTTAGGTTCTAATAATGCTTAGGAATATGAATCTGATCATTTTTCAGCTTACCTTAGTAAAACTGACATTATTTATCAAACTTCTTATGTTTACACCTCTCCATCGAATGGTGTTGCTGAACACAAGAATCATCATTTGTTGGAAGTTACATGTGCTCTGTTATTCCAGATAAATATTTTCCGATATTTTTGGAGTGATACTGTTCTTACTACTTGTCATCTTATTAATTGTATGTCATCCTCTGTGTTATATGGGCAAAGTCCATATTTTGTCATTTTTCTTGGTAAGCCTTTATTTTTTCTAACTCCTAAGGTTTTTGAATGTGTCTATTATGAACACAATTTGGGTCCTGGGTTTGATAAATTTGACCCTTGAGCTACCAAATATGTATTTCTTAGATACTTTCGCACACAAAAGGGGTATCGTTGCTATAGTTCTTCTCTGCGACGATATTTTACTAGTGTCGTTGTCATTTTTGAGGAATATGTTCCATATTTTCCAACACCTGCTTAGCCTTTGGATCTAGACTTTAGGTCGTCTCTTGTACCACCATCTCTTCCCTCCTCTTCAGATATTCCGTTGTCTACTGTATTACCATCTACTTTGCCTCTTGGTGTATACTTTCATCGCCCTCACCTATCTACTGAGGTGCCCGTATCGTCTTCCTTGCCGCCTTTGGATCCTGGTACATCAGTTAATTTAGACTCTTTACCTATTGCTCTTCGAAAAGGTACTCGTTTGTGTGTTACTAATCATCTCATTGCTCATTTTATTTCATATGATGCCTTGTCTCCTGTCTTTTTTTGTTTTACCTTTCAATTATCTACTATATCTTTTCCTAAGCACTTACAAGATGCATTATCTGATCTGAGTTAGAGGAAAGCTATGGAGGAGGAAATAGATGTCTTACATCATAATGAGACTTGAGATCTCATTCATTTATCTCCTAGTAAATGAACTGTTGGTTGTTGTTAGGTGTATACTGTTAAATTTCATCCAGATGGTTCTGTGGAGTGTCTCAAAACCCAGCTTATTGTAAAGGGCTTTACTCAGACCTATGGTGTTGATTATGAGGATACTTTCTCTCCTGTTGCCAAAATTTTCTCTGTTCGTATCTTGATTTCTTTGGCTGCTAATCTTGATTGTCCCTTGATTCAATTAGATGTTAAGAATGTCTTCTTACATGGTGACTTAGTTGAAGAGGTATACATAGAGCAGCCACCTGGGTTTACTAGCTCAAGGGGAATATGGTAAGAGTGTATGTCGGTTAAAGAAATTTTTGTATGGTTTGAAGTAGTAACCGAGGGCATGGTTTGGAAAGTTTTCAGATGCAATTTTAGAGTTTGGTCTTCTTCGATAGTAGACAGACCATTATATATTTCATAGACAGACAAATGCTGGATATGTTCTATTGGTGGTCTATGTAGATGATATTGTGATTACTGGAAATTATTCTGAAGGGATTGCTAAGTTAAAAATCTTTTTGCAAGATTGATTTTATACTAAGGATTTGGAAAAAATCAGATATTTCTTGGGTATTACAATGGCTCGATCTAAACTGGGTATTTGTTTATCCCAGAGAAAATATGTATTTGACATACAAGAGGAAACAGGTTTGTCGGTGACAGATCGATTGATGTTCCTATGGATCCAAATCATAAATTGTTGGTGGATGATGGTGCACTATTTGAGAATCTTGGTCGGTATCGCATATTAGTTGGGAAGCTCAATTATCTCACTATTATCCGACCGGATATTTCCTATGCAGTCAGTATAGTAAGTCAGTTCATAGGGTGTCCTAGAGTACCACATTGGGAGGCAGTTACTAGTATTTTGTGATATCTTAAATGTGTTCTTGGACTTTGACTGTTATATCAAGCTAATAGACATCTTAGAGTGGAAGAATTCTCAGATGCTGATTGGGCTGACTCTACTTCTGATCGGAGATCAACCACTAATTAATGTACTTTCTTAGGAGATAATGTTGTCTCATGAAAAAGTAAGAAAAAATCCATGGTAGCAATATCTAGTGCTAAGGCTAAGTATAGGGCAATAACGCATCTGACGAGTGAATTGACTTAGCTACTACACTTCCTCTAGGAAATTGGATTTCCAGTTCAACTTCCTTTACAATTTTTCTATGACAACTAGGCAGCTATCCATATCGCTGTCAATTCAGTGTTTCATGAGAGAACCAAACATATTTGTCACTTTATTCGGGACAAGATAGTAGACAGGGAAATTATGACTCATTTGTGAAATCTGAAGATCAGCTTGCAGATATGTTTACTAAAGCATTAAATCATACACGTCTTATAACAATTTGTTTCAAGCTTGAATTATATGATATATATAGTCCAGCTTGAGGGGGAATGTTAAGAATATTAGGGTAGTATGTGTAAATTATTAAGCGTGTTAAGGTATTATGTGTAAATATAAGAGAGTGTATTCTGTCTTTCTTATTATTGTAAGTTAGCTATAAATACTAGTGATGAATGAGAGGTAAGTTAAGTTTGACCACTCTTTGCTTCTCTCTAATATTGTGTTAATTCTCCCAACTTAACAATCTCAAACATTTTCTCCACACACATTTTCAAATGAAGGATATGGGTTCTCTCAGCTACTTCTTGGGTCTTGAGATCTTGTTGACTCTAGTGAGTATTATTTCTCTTAGAC